CTGGGGTTTTGTTTAGCTTCTATATTTGCAACATAGTTGCTTAGAGTTGCAGCTGAGAGGCTGGCAAGGCAGGCGGGGAACCTGGCTTCCTCCGTCACTGGAGCAAGCAAGCCTCCTGTTCGCTTCATTGGTTGGCAGTTAGCCGCCATCTTGGTTGGCAGTTAATTTGCATATCTCACTGATTAGCCAATGGGAAGGGTAGCGGAGGTATGGCTAATTACCATGTTTCTCTTTTATTAGATAAGATAGCTACTTGACAGTGGATATCTAATGATTGAATATCTGAGTTAAGGTCTTTCATGAGCTTTCCCCGTTTACATGTGCCCTACTCCTAAAATAGCAATGTAAATGACCACATACTCATTGCAAATTCATTCATATAAGAAACAAACCTTGAAGAGCAGGCTATTTTCCCTTTATAGCACTTATCATGGTTTCTGATTATATATGTGTATAATTATTTCATAGATATCCATTTTCCACATAAGATAAAAAAACTTCATGAGAGAAGTTTTGCTTAGATTTGTATCCTGGGGTCTAGAACAGTACATGGCACTTAGTAGCCACTCAATAAATATTTGTTGAATGAATGAATGAATGAGTTGCCTAAATAGCCAAAATTTGGTATAAGTTTTAACTACGTACTCTGAATGATTATTTTATTGCTCTACATTGGAACAAAAATGATGAATGATAAAGTATATTATACGTTCCCTTTTTTTTGGTTAGGGAGAAACATTGTTTTGCCACAAAAAGACAAGAGAGATACAGATATACATGTGTATTTATAGCTTCCTAACAAATTTCCCTGCTTCTATGCCAGCCCCTCTAGAGTCTATTTTCAGCACAACATCCAGAGTGATCCTTTTAAAATGTAAACTAAACCATGTTACTTATTTTTTTAAAAAAATCCTCACTTGAGGATATTTTTCCATTGATTTTTAGAGAGAGTGGGAGAGAGAAATATTGATGTGAGAGAAACACACCAACTGGTTACCTCCTGCATGAGCCTGGACCGGGCCTGGGCTAGGGAGGAGCCTGCAACCGAGGTATGTGCCCTTGACAGGAATCAAACCCGGGACCCTTCAGTCCACAGGCTGACGCTCTCTCCACTGAGAAAAACTGGCTAGAGCCCATGTTACTTACTTTTTAAAATCCTCAATATACTCAGGGTGAAACAGAATTTCTTACCATGACATACAGAACTTGTTATGATCCTGCCCTACCTACGTTTCTTCCTCTTGCTCATTCTACTCCAGCCACGTGAACTTTGTTTCTCCCCCTTGAACTTGCCATTGTATTGTCTTTCTGAGGAACTTGGTATTTGCTCATTCCTCTTCCTGGAGTGTTCTCCCCCAGGATATTTTGCATGATTTGCTCCCCCTCAAAGAGCCCATCACTGGACATCGCATCACCCCTGCCACTGTCTCCTATTACCTAGTTCCATTTTTTAAAAATCTTTATTGTTCAGATTAATACTTCCTGGAGTGTTCTCCCCCAGGATATTTTGCATGATTTGCTCCCCCTCAAAGAGCCCATCACTGGACATCGCATCACCCCTGCCACTGTCTCCTATTACCTAGTTCCATTTTTTAAAAATCTTTATTGTTCAGATTAATATAGTTGTTCCTCTTTTTCTCCCCATAGCTCCCCTCCACCCAGGTCCCACCCCACCCTCTGCCCTTACCCCCTCCCCACTGTCCTCATCCATAGGTGTACGATTTTTGTCCAGTCTCTTCCTGCACCCCCC